CCTAAACGCGCTCGCTGTTTTTCCAATTAGTTTCGATTTGTTTTTTTCACTCGAAAATACGAGTCGACGATTAATTTAATAATATATCGCGTGTATTATACAACGCACATGCAATACGCTCGAAGCGTTCAAGAACCGGRCGTAGGGTGGCGGACACCGCACAAATCAATCACGTGGTGACCGTGCAGCGTGCGGCAATGACGCAGATCGACCGAAATCTATTTTATTTTTACATTGATTTTTTTTTTACTCTACACAGTCACTATAATACCATGTACATCACTGCGTCTTCGACGTACAAAAAAGCTTCACTCACTTCACAGTCTCATCATTTACAATATAATATATACCGTCATACCGACATAATATTATATCGGCACCTGTAAACAGTAAAGCGTACCTCTTATGCGAACAGTCGTAAATTATACGATATAATGTTATATATTTGTTCTGAAAATATAGCCATGCATTTCCACGACGATGTAATGTATAATATTATTATGATTGCGGTGTAGGCCCCTATACATACAATGCTCAACTATATATATATACAGTACATTATAACATGTTCACTAGCACGCGTATTATATATTATATATATATATATATATATGGTATGCGCACCGCAAAATGTAATTTCCATATACGTAAAGGGTTGCGGGCGGTGTCAACCCCCTCTGCTGATGCCGGCCGGTCGGTCAACCTATATATTGTAATTTGTATTATTATTATTACTATATTATCCGTTATTGTTGTGAGCGCGCGCGGAAAGAGCGTATATTATTATATGGACTGATGACGTGCGGCACAAGGGAGAGGGATTTGGTAATAGAATGAGAGGAACTTGGCGAGAGAGAAAGAGAGATACGACTGCGCAGAGTAACTGAAGCAGGATAAACTGGAATGATGCAAGATGGACGGCTACGCATCGCAGGCGATAGATTGGCGGTGCATGAGGTGGTTTCAGGGGGATATTGACCTGTCAACGCGGACCGGATGGAATTAATGCTGAACCCTTTTGCACACGTACCTAAATATGTATACATATATACCAAACACACACATATAGGTACGTATATACACACACATACACAAGTGGTGGTGGCCATCATGTGCCGTTGTACACGAGCGCGAGTGCAATATTACGGTGCTGTTTGTGGTGGCGGGTATGGGTAAGCAAGGGGGGACAACAAGCAAATTATAATCCCTTCAGTTTCTGTGCCGGAAGAAGGGTCTCCATACCCATTGCACACATAGCGTCACGAGTTTATGGCATAGTTGCTCTTACTAATACTAATATATTATTATAAATTATTATAATGCACATTAAGTATATTATATATATTTACCAATATGACTATATAATATATAATAATAATATATAATAATAATATAATATAATATATATAATATACTATTATGATGTATAATATTGCAAAACTAACTTTAAATTTATACGGTCAACACATTTAGATTTTCATTTCTCTCTTACATTGGATCTGTTTAGCGTTTAACTGTATAAGGGTTGTAGTAGTATAGTACCAGTGGAAGTAATAATACTAATAGTAGTGATATTACACGTAGTTAACATCGCATAAAAACATTCTCGTCGTTACGGTCGTAAAAATGTTCATCGATTATTTAATAAAATATTATATGTCTATATAAACGCTCGTGCGCGAGTATAGTTGTGATGTTATGATCGTTGCCGCTACGGCATCGGTTTTAGCGATGAGAAGAGGAGACAAAGGAAAAAAAAAGGGGGTGTAACGTCATATTTTGGCGGCGATACAGAAGAGTCGATGTGGCGGCGGCGGCCGCCGCCTAGAGATAATGATCTCCGAGCGACCGCGGGCCAAAGAAATATATTACATTATTTATACAAAATTGGTTGCAGGTGTTTCATCATTTTTATTATTACTACACACATATACCGCTTTTTTTTCTCCTCCTTCTGCACCTACCTATACCAATACCTGCAGTATAATATAGATATATATATATTGCCCGGCAGTTATACGAGAGGCAATCTACGGCGGCCTCAGTGACAGACACCCTGTAATCAGCCCCGAGATGACAGTCACGTACCTTTTATGTGTGTTTGTGTGTGTGCATCTCATCTCCATAATAACATGGCACTACTACTACTACATAATACACTACCACACGCTTACACATTATACTCGCCGATCGATGTCCTCTCGTGCGCAGGTATATATACACATACTAATAATATACGTGTGCACATACCGAGTGCTTTGGTCGTCATCATAGTCGCCGTTGTCGTCGTCGTCGTCGTACGTCGTTCAACCGGTCTGAACACGGAGCTATAGTATAGAAATAAAAAATAAAAAATAAAAACGCCCACAGGCCTACCGGTACCTCTAATCATAATGTAATGTCCGGGCCACTCAAAATTGTTACTGTCATTGGCATACCCACTCAGACACATATATACGATGTCATAATGTCAATTTCGTATATATATAATTTCTACCCACCGTGCTCCGCCARCAATTCTCTCTCACCGAAGGTAAATCGAAAAAAAAATACTAATAATAATATCATAACCGCAACGCTCGTGAATCGAATGTTATTATTATTGGTATATAATATTTAGGTACTATACGTACGTACGGTGAACGATTGTCGTACACGATAGACGCGAGCATAATGATTGCTACATACGACAATAAGGTCCTAAGTATAGTAAGTAGGATAACCGCAAGGCCGTCGAATGCGATGGTGACGCGAAGGACGCACATGTACCTACGGTAAAATACGTATAATGTATAAATATATCATGTCGTAGCCAGTGAACACATACGGTACCCATCAAAACTCAAGACTGTCACATTTTAATATCGTATGATGATATTATGCACTATATGTACAYTACAGCAGACGTTAAAAATGTCAAGTGCTTCCGCGTCGAATGTCATTAATCCCTATATATAACGATAATATTGTCRCGCGTCAATTAAAAACCTACTCGATACCGTTTTTCCATTCCATCGTTGTGTCCCATCACAAAAATAATAATAACAAACACACTCGCCCAACTCGCGTACACACACACACACACACGACTCCCTCGAAAATTACAAAACCCATGGCGTTGTGCGGTGCTAGGCACGATGACGACGACGTCGCGACGCTGTGTAATTGAAATTGATCGAGCCGATCGGGCGCGACGCCTGTCACGGCCCATTAAAAACGAGTGTAAATATATATATATATACAAGTGTAAGTACGACAAGGGAAAACGACACTATATACACGCGGGACACATACACATGTTACGCAGTCAATAGGGTATTATATACACAATATATATACGCCGTGAAAGTGTGTGTGCGTTTCTAGTGGTCGTTATCGCATTGTTGTGTATTATATTATTATTATTACCTATACATTTATACGATGGCAAAAGTGTGCGTACAAGTACGCTATAACACTATATTGATGCAGTAGGAGACGGGCGTGCGATGTATATACTTATAGTAAATATAATAATAATAATAATAGTGTAGGAAAACGATGTTTGTAAGTGTATTTAGTTTTATTTTTTTTTTCGTTTATTGTCTTGCGCGAATTTACGGAAACACCGTCGAATTGTTTTTAACGTATTATATTATGTCCTTATACTAATTTTCTATACACCATCGTCWCGACCTATAGTGATAGTATTATAATATTATTTGTTATATTTTAGGGTATATACGAAATACATTTCACAATCGGATGTATAATAAATTAATAACACAATATATACGCGGCGTCAGTAGTACCTAAATTTATTGTATAAATTATATATATATAGGGCGAAATGGAAATTATGTAAAATAGAACGAGTGTATTATAATATTATAACCAACGTCGGACAGATAACACGCGGCGGAGGCTGTCAATATCGGCCGGCAGATCGATGGGTATATTGCCGTTTACCGTACACCGTATATATTATTGTAGTATATACATAATATAATATATATACAATATACATATATACACATCAGTCTATCTTCACTTCAAATGCAAATCACAAAATCCGACGTCGGGATTGATGGATGAGCAGCCTCCGAGAGGGGATGGGGTGCGGGACACGTCGACGACGAGTATACGACTATTACGAAGATGACGACTACACGCTATTACCGCGGCGGCGAGACGAGCGTTCCACTCTAATAGGTCCACATTTCATAAGAAGCTCCTCCAGCCGAAACTATAATACATAGGTACAATAATGTAAACGCGACGTGTACCTACATGTATTATACAGGAAAACCGATGGCAATTATTTATGTATTGTTATTCTTGGTATATACATATATATGCACATTATGTTTAATAATATTATAATATCGTATTCCGACCCGGACGAGTACGTGATATGCGTAGGTATAAGGTATAAGTATATAATACGATGGCGCATGATGTGTCCTATACGTATATCATCATCGTATACCGATTGACGGTCCGCTGGTGCAGCGAGCGGTGCGAAACGCGGCGCGCAACACGATTTTTTCGCACGGAAAAGCATAATATATATTATTGCATTATGCGAATAATAATAACGAAATTAATTTCGTATAACGGGCGTGTCGGTCGTGCGATGGGTTGTATATTATAATATTATGAAAACGACGATGTCGATATTATATATATTATATTATATACCATAAAGTATATTTTTATCGTATCTTGTGCGCCGTCGTGCAGAGACGAAYATATCGCCGTACGTGTACATATATATACTATTATGCGCATGGCATAACGAGGAGTTATTGTTTTAAATCGTATATTATTATATATCATATATATCTATATTTTATGTATAACGTATAATATATATAAACGCCCTCCGCAGATAGTCGTATCGTATATAATATATATGCGTCACGTCTGCGGTACATATTGTGTGTCATAAAATAATGTTCGATGAGAATCGATCGTTCGTAAGAATATAATATAGAGAATAAGAACAGACGTGTACTTACGGTRCATATGGTTGGTGGCATAGCCATTTGCGGGGGATCCGAAGACGTCCGAGAAGGTCGGATGGGCATCGGAGGTGGTTGCGGCACGATCGGCGGCACGCTGGCTCCAGCCATATCAGGCCGCAGAAACCACGACGCTACTGAAGCCCCCTAATAATAAAAAAAAAACGCCACACATAAGTTTATAGTTAAATAAAAAAAAAACACAGTTAAATATTGTTTATTACTTTTTTTTTTCATATTATGAAAATAGAAATTATATAAAGGCGCACACGAGGTGACAATATTATTTTTTGTACTTATTATATTATATATGCATCGTACCGGGGCAAGCTGCAGGTGGTAAACCTATTTACGAGCTGTAATTATAGTTGTGTTTTTAAGCACGGTACATATTAAACGCTGACACTACACCGGTCACTGTGTTTAGATATAATACGATTAAATAGAAAATATGTACTTGTATTAATATATTATATAATAAATACATCGCTTACTAACAAGTTTCCGGCTGTTAAAACGACTAAATTCAAACGTCGGTTAATTAGCAAAGCGCGTGAAGGACACGCGATGGATCGTTAATTCGTTATATATATGGGTGTGTGTGTGTGTGTGTGTGTATATTATAATAGGTGTTATTGATCATATAGATATAATATATGTAATAAATTTGTTGTAATAAAATAGAATTCAATCAACTCGGCCAAGATCATTGACAATAATATGGTATTCATATCTCATAATATAATATTATAATCACCGCTGCCACTTTTATAGTTATTTTTTCCTTATTAACAGAGTCACTCGCTTGGGAGAAAAATCTGAGGAGAAACTATATATTATATACAATAATATACATATAATTATAAGTACGGCGAATAGTACTATGTACTCGTATTATTAATGGTATTAATGGCTACAACATATAATGCCTATGTCATAATTTTTTTTACACATCGTTAATTTACTAATTCAGAAAAACGAAATCGCCTATTCTTTTTCACATGTAAACAAGAATACTAAAACTTCATTTATATAAAATTGGTTCATTGTTTTTAATGTATAATGGACCTTCCAAACCCATTGCAAGTAAGAACTCACAATCATCACTCATTCCTGYGGTCTATTTATCWCAATAACTCAATCCTCGTAACAGTTGTTTTAAGATTTAAATTACATTTATTTCAGATATTAATTTTACAAGGTATACAAAATGTAGCAGGTATCACTGTCTTCCAAAGTAATATTAATTATTTATAAAAATCAGCTTTTTTTAAAAAAACATTCCGATACGAATTCATCTCTTCTTCTGTGAACGCTTTTTAATTCTTAAGCATATTTTACAGTCCTATGATGGTTACATTTCTTATCAGATCTCAGTATATAATGATATTATAGCACATTCCCCCCTCCGTTCGTGTTATAATTCCTTTATATTGTATCATCATTAAATGCCGTTCGTAATACTATCCTTGAKCAATAAACGAAAAGCTGTTTTAAATAATTCACAATGTTGTGCACAAGTCGTTAATATAATATGCATAATAATGTAATCAATAAACAATTGCAGCAATTAACCTGCAGTAACTATAWGACTTCCGCGTGATTTTTATACTGATACTTATTAACTCACTACTCGCACAATATTATGATATAACGTCGAACAATAACAATAACAATTTTATGTAACATTATTTCTCTCTCACACACATACACACAACACATATACCTACAATTAAGCTAAACCACGTTTATTTAGGTAACTCGTGCTAGTTTAATAGAGCTTTTACGTGCTATTAACAAGTAATTTTTCTATGTACATATATGCGTGTGTGTGTGTGTTTGCTGTGTACATGTACAACAATAACAACGGCAACGCGGCAATGGCAGTTTACCCGGTGTATATAGTGGCGGCAAAAGAATAGGGCGAGAGACGAGCCGAAACGGTCGCRCAAAGCAAGTGTATATATTATAATATGTAGCTAATAATATAATAATAAAATATACGCTATAATATATATATATTAAGTACCATATACGTAAAATGTCGCGTGTCCGATAGGGGCCACAAAGGTCAAATTCGCGGCAACCTTGCAAGAGCGGCACGATAATAACGAAATAATGACAGCAATAAAAAGAAGAAAAAACTAAAAATAAAGAGGAAAGTACATAATATTATATACACCGCCGGACACGCAAAAAACTTAGAGAAAATATCGCTGTACATTATACCGTCTACGCCATTGCTGTTTTTGCTGACTGCTGCTGGCTGGTAATGGCGCAGACAGCACGACGCGTGTGTGTAATATTGTATCTATACGGCGGCATCGCGTTTATGATAACTATATGTTTTAGTTGTCGTCGGCAGAGGTCGACAGACCAAATTATATAAATGAATATAATATATATATATATTATATTATTACATATTATACCTATACGCGCGATGACGCGGTGCAGGGAGAAAAAAGTCTTTGAGAGCGTTTGTTTCTTTTTATTTATTTTTTTTTTGAAATAGCGTGTTTTTAAAATGTCAAGCCTATATATATGTATATATATATATATATAAACACATATATTTAGGAACTCGGGGAGGGGGTGAAGATATATAGCAAAACGAGAGAGTGTGCATTGTATAATAATATTATTGTTTATACGGCAGAGGATCGCGTGACTTCCGAAAAATTCCGTACACCAAAGACGAGACGCCAGCACGCTAATATAATAGAAATTAAAACTTATACCTATATTACTGTAATATACACCTCCTTCGGTGTGTACACACACACACACACACACACACACACACATATATATATATATATAATGGTACGACATTATACGAGTACGTTTAAAGGTATAGGTACTTTACAGCCGAATAAAGTGCATAATATATTATTTCATTCGCTGTCGTTATATCCTTTGTAAATAAAAATAATAATAAAACGTAGCCGATGACGACGCCGCGTGGTGTTTTGGCCACCGTTCAAAAAACGCACGTACACACACATACACACACACACACATACACACACACACACATACCCATAAACACATGTAATATTATGTTATACACATATTATCTATCTTTACATTCTATAATATCGAAAATCATTTATCGTCGTAGCGGAAAACACGGCTGCGGCACATTGATATTATGCGTACGTGTATACGTGTATATATATATACACACACCTACTAATCCCTGCTCGCCCGCAGCACTGTTTTCCGCGAGAGAGCAGCGATGGTTTTTCGTCTATTTATAATCCTTAGGGACCGGAGAAATTGCGGTTTTACGACACCCATAAAAGTTTGCGGCAACGACGACGACCACATGGCGGCATATATACGGCAGCGATCGCGCGCCCGTTCAAATCTATATACGATTATATTATTATTATTATTATTATTATTACTACTAGATATATAAAATAATGTACACACACGCGTATACMTAATATAATACAACGACGAAGTGTATATACATAGCACAGCACACATACGCTGAATATAATAATCGACGAGGTCATCCATCCGTGTGTTTGGGTGTGTGTGTGCGCCTCCAAAGGGGCACTAATATATATATATATATATTGTTTGAATGTGTGTGTGTAAGAGTTCATCTGGCTAAAAGCTTCTTCCCGCCCCCTAACCTCGTCGCAGCATAGACYTCGTGTCTGACGTATGACAGCGGCCGGAAAAAACCGTTCCGAATTAATGAGCGAGAAAAATAACGACAACTACGCCGCCGCCACCGTCACGACCCTGCAGCTCACTCCATATCATTATTATTATCATTATATATATTATACACTGTATATACACTATACACCGATTTATGACCGATCGGCTCTCTATACATAAGAWATAAACTGATAAACGTTCCAATAGCACGTATAAAATACAATATGTATTTATTATTTTGCTGCAGTGTTCGTTTTGGCGCGCGTAAATCGATTTGGTGTGTGTACRTACATCAAATTATTATTGTACATCCGTTCGGCGATCTGTGGCGACCTATAGATATAGAAACGCGCCACAAACGAGAGCGACTAAAGTACACGATGCAGTCCCGTCGACTCCGTCGTAATATAGTATTTTATTACATATTGTATTATTTTTTTTTTTTTGATTTAATTGAAAGTTATCATATATTTTCGTATGGACCATTTTATCATTATATACACCTATAATAGTAGGTATATATTAATATTATATTATAATATGATACCGCCGTCGTACGCGTTCAACACATTCGTCCCACGGTATAATTTATTGACGCCCCGAAGTCAAAACACACATATGCGTACAGCTGATCTTTCTTAAACGACCATCTAAAATGAAATAAACGGCGCGCAAACGTTGTTAAATAATTGTACCTGCGATACCCGGAGTAATAATAACAATATTAATTAACTTTTTTCGAAGTGACAAACGGCGCCGCGGTACGCTCCGTTGGGGTTACTCGAATTCCATTATAATATATTATATATAATAATATTATTATATACCCGAACGAAACCGTTTTGAAATCAAAGTAATTATATATAGTTTTCGGAGGTTATAGTGGGCGCGATTATAACTGCTCCACAGAAAGGTTTTAAATTTAAAGAAGAAACGTGAAAGTAGTTATTATTGTGCGTGGAGGGTTTCTGCTGTCCCAAACATACATTATATAATATATATAATTGGTACATCATAAATTTATATACACACACACACACACACACACACAGTTAAAAACCGTTTAACCGTTGCGAGTCCTTTAAATATTGATTAATTTATCGATATAGGACGATATATTCGTATACCTATATCGGTATACGAAGTACATAATATACGTTTGAAATGGAGAGGCAGTTTAATATACATTATTTTATATTTTGAGGATGACCTTATGGACACATATTACATATAAATGTAGTTTACATATTTATATTGGTATTACGATGTATATAATGTAAGTATTGCATAACAATGTTTTTGTGTCAGGTGGTACATGCATACATAAATATACTTAATAATATTAATATAATACATATGTGTATTAAAATATTCAATTGCGTACACAATTACAATATTAATATTATTATTATTACTATACAGCTGTAAGCAAATATAATAATAASAACTGTGACGACTTATTCCGC